TCAATTATTCCATTCAAAATATTCATTAGGTTCCGAGATAATAATAAAATACGAAATTTCGTTTTTATTGATTGATCTCTTCATTGTAAGAAACACCATATGTAGGGTTTAGGTTCCCTCTTGCATAGGCGTTTTGTGTGATTTGGGTCGATGAGTGTTGTCGACGTGGGGCGGGATGTTCTTTTTAGGAATATTTGGGTCGATTGAATTTCGATTTTTAGAGGGGATAAGAGATATGCAACCCATGCAGTTCCAAGAAGGGGCTTGTCGCAAGGGCTTGTCGCGGAGGTTTGTCGCGGATGCTGCTTGTCGCAAGCAGAACGGCTTTGTTATAAACCCTATGTTGCGGAAAAAGACGCCCGGGAGCCAGTTACATGCCTAGACTTTGGACCCGCGCCCATTTCCTGAGGTCCCTAAGCCCCCCCCCCCCCCGGAAGACCGGAGCTCCTCGACAGTTTTTTGATCTGCGCGGCTCCCTTCGAAGGCAGGGACAGCCCAGCGAGCGTCCAAGCCTGGGTCGGAGTCACTACGCGTAGCTAGGCCTCCTCCAAGAGTCGCACGGTTTCCCTGCAGCTCTCCTTCTCGTGTGCTTTGAAGTACCTCACCTTGCTACGTGACTGGGCCTCTTCCAGGGCCGTCTCGTGCTCGCAACTTCTGCAAGCTATGCTTTTGTCTGCACCCAAGGCCAGGAGCTGCTCGATAGCCGCATTGTGATCGTTCTGGCAATCTTCCGCCGCAAAGAACAGCGCCGTGGATCCCGAGTCGTTGCGCGAGTTCACATCGACGCCGAGAAGCACTAGCGCCTTCCAGGAGAAAGAGGCATGAGGCTCTGAAGGAACTATCTCTTTATTCCACGGGGGAGCGTTCAACACTTGATGTGTGTGTGTGTGTGTTTTTGTGTTTGTTTGTGTGGGGTGTGTGTCTGTGTGTGTCTGTGTGTGTCTGTGTCTCTGTGTGTCTCTGTGGGTCTCTGTGTGTCTCTGTGTGTCTCTGTGTGTCTCTGTGTGTCTCTGTGTGTCTCTGTGTGTCTCTGTGTGTCTCTCTGTGTCTGTCTCTGTCTCTGTCTCTGTCTCTGTCTCTGTCTCTGTCTCTGTCTCTGTCTCTGTCTCTGTCTCTGTCTCTGTCTCTGTGTCTGTGTCTGTGTCTGTGTCTGTGTCTCTGTGGGTCTCTGTGGGTCTCTGTGGGTCTCTGTGGGTCTCTGTGGGTCTCTGTGCGTCTCTGTGCGTCTCTGCGCGTCTCTGTGCGTCTCTGTGCGTCTCTGTGCGTCTCTGTGCGTCTCTGTGCGTCTCTGTGCGTCTCTGTGCGTCTCTGTGCGTCTCTGTGCGTCTCTGTGCGCCTCTGTGCGTCTCTGTGCGTCTCTGTGCGTCTCTGTGCGTCTCTGTGCGTCTCTGTGCGTCTCTGTGCGTCTCTGTGCGTCTCTGTGCGTCTCTGTGGGTCTCTGTGCGTCTCTGTGGGTCTCTGTGCGTCTCTGTGTGTCTCTGTGTGTCTCTGTGTGTCTCTGTGTGTCTCTCTGTGTCTGTCTCTGTCTCTGTCTCTGTGTCTGTGTCTGTGTCTGTGTCTGTGTCTCTGTGGGTCTCTGTGGGTCTCTGTGGGTCTCTGTGCGTCTCTGTGCGTCTCTGTGCGTCTCTGTGCGTCTCTGTGCGTCTCTGTGCGTCTCTGTGCGTCTCTGTGTGTCTCTGTGTGTCTCTGTGTGTCTCTGTGTGTCTCTGTGTGTCTGTGTCTCTGTGTGTCTCTGTGTGTCTCTGTGTGTCTCTGTGTCTGTGGCATTTTCGTCCCGAACCTTCAGCACCTGCTTGCCCTTGAAGGCATAGCCGGATGCATCGTGGAGCATCGTGCCTCCCAGAAAGCCCCGCTGTTGTACGGCCTCGACCATTCTCATCCGGCGCACTTTCCCATAGGAAAACTCCACTTCATCCATGAGATCTCGAAGCTGTTCTAGCGCGGTGCGTGCGTCACCGCCTTTGACGTTTTCGAGCGCTTGATCCACAGGCATGTGCTTCAGACCTGAGATTTCGTTGATGTCTACCAAAGACAACTTCGTCAAATGCTTCTGGCTATCGTCGGTGCGCACTGCTTCAGACAGCAAACCCAGCTGTGCCAGCACCACCACCACTACGCATCGTATCATGGCTTTGACAGAAGAACGCAATTGGGGGCTCTTGGCTGCAATGAGCCAGGAACAGCAAAGCCACGTTGAAGCTACCACCGCATGAAACCGTGGACCCACAAAACTACACTGATAGTATACTCTTGTAGTACCCTGTTATAGTACACCGTCCGCCATTGATAAAATGGTATACTATTATAGCATGCTATGAGATGACCCGATTCTCGTATACGAACATAGTACCCTACTTTAGTACACCCCATCAGAGCCCCAAAATGATGACAGCCGCTGACAATCCCGATGACCTCGAGGATGGGATGGCTAAAGCCCAAGAATTATAGTGTTATTATAGCATTATTGTAGGATTATTGTAGGATTATTATAGTATTATTTTGGTACTATTCTAGTACTATTATGGTATTCTTCTAGTACTTTTATAGTATCATTATAGTAGTAAATATATTGTGTCATTAGTCTATTGATATTGTATTATAGTATTATTGTAATGTTACTATTGTACTATTATAGTATTGGCATAGTATGGTTATTGTACTAGTATAGTACTATTATAGTACTATTATAGTACTATTATAGTATTATTACAGTATTATTATAGTATTATCTGAAAAAATCTTCGAACCCTCCACATGACTCCAGCTTGTGGTCGATGGCCTGCTTCTGACGCAAACTGGATATCACAATGTGCCAATGCACGGCCAAAGGAACTGTTTTGCAGACTACACTTGCGGAAGCACACGACATGAGGTTGTAAGGAGGTCTCATGGCAGCGCACTTTTGGCAGATGTGGCTTATCGGTGAGAGAATGCTATAGTCTACTTGCATGTGTATCCCATACTCCTATACTATACTGCACTTGTACTGCAGGATACTATTGAAGCTGATATTGGACCATACTATGGTGCAGCTGCTGTGTGGCACCCAGGCAGCTACTTCAGCACGTGTCCCTGCCACTCTTGCGTCGTACGGCAATCCCCTGCTAGCATGGTCAAGGCATCCTGTTTTGGCAAATTCTGGGATCTGAACTTTTGTCCTGCAGTCCTTCTTGCGCTCTGAATGAATAAAGCAGGCACACAACTTTTTTCTCTGACCATTCAAGCGATCCGATCGGCGACCTCGGTACAATCCACGGTTCACCGTCACCAGTTCCGACGCACTAATTAGATTCAAGAGCCTCAAGAATAGCTGAACCCAGAATAGGGTCTCTAAACCCTAAACCCTAAACCCTAAATCCTAAACCCTAAACCCTAAATAGGGTACTCCCAGCAAGCCCGGAGCGCGTTAGTGCCACCAGGAGTCCCCCAACTTTCGCAGCTCGTCGAGCCAGCCGTCTCGGTCCTTGCGCTCCGAGTTCGCCTATGACCCCGAGCCCCAAACAGTAAGTGCTTAGGGTTTAGGGTTTAGGGTTTGGGGAGCCCTTTGGCTGCCAACCGACAGAAGAACTGAACAACTCTAGACTCTAGATTTCACTCTGCAATGGAACTTTGCAAAGCTGGACGGAAGATCATGCGCCTTTGAACCGATGTCCCAGAGGAAAAAATGCAGTGGCTCTAGGTCCTGGCTGCTCCATGACTTGAGCGTCACTGGTGCCTGCATGCATCAACTCTCTTCAACAAGTGGGGAAAAGAGCCCGTTACATTCATGGCTTGCTGAGACATTCCGCCAACTGCGCCTGGCCCCGGCTCTCGATAAGAAAGCACGGCTCCTTCGCGGCACCGCGGAAGGCGCGAACCTATCGTGGCTCAGGAATCTCAAGTCGTTTAGGGTTTAGGGTTTTAGAGTTTGAGGAGCGGAAGGTGCGGATCAGGGCTTCGAGCGTTCGGGGATGGAGGCTTTTCGGGCTTGGCACAGGCTTGGCCAGATGTTTAGGGCTGAAGCGGCAAAAGAGTTCAAGAAGTTTCGTGCCTGAAAATCATTTCGAACCCGACATCAATCATGAGACGACGGCCCTGCATCCCGCACACCGCAAGTTAGAGTCTGGAATTTGTGTGTAAGACTGGACTTCCTGCGCAGAATGAGAGTGGGATGAGTCTGACGGGTTTGGGACCTTGGTGGGGACGGACTCTTTCGAAAACAAATCTGAAGCCTCAACGTGCCGTAAAGCCAGGATCCGAACACCCCCCCCCGATGCACGGCGGAACGTAGTTCCCAAGGACTATTTGGCCCAAGTTATCAATGTCCTAGTGATTTTTTGCAGCCCGGTAGTCGGGGCAACGTGTTCCTCTTCCGTTAAAGTCCCGCGACACGGACCCCGGAAATTCGGTGGTCGGTGTCCCGATCATATATGCAGTTGTCGTGAAAAGTTTCACGTCGTGTCTAGCTTTGGCCGGTTTGCTGTGCTTTGTTGTCGGTCCGTGTTTCGGCAGGTGCTTCTCTCCCGCGCCCGCGAGGCATCATCCGCTGTTCCTGCTGTTCTCTATGGCCCGCACAGTCCGCGGGAATGTTGATGCCATCAGGATCGTGGTGTTTTCAGGGCCCGAATTTCATGATGCACGTGCTGGGCCGGTGCTGACGCGACACTGTTCTTTGCACCGCCTGGTCTGCTTGCAAGGGCACAGGAGAAGGCCGTCGAGGCTATGCCGCAGTGACACGGGGGGACATGTTCACATCTTTTGCAAGTATGCATGTTGCAGGGCAACCTAAAACCCTAAAACCCAAAACCCCAAACCCTAAACCCTAAACGAGCAAGGCTTGTGCACCTATCGGCTTGCAAGCAAGTTTTTTGACAGCTTGAGGCTTTCGGGGTGAAGTTCCATGAGGATCCACTTGGGCTTGCAACGTCACGTGCGAGTCAAGGCCTGCAACGAGAACGTCAGTTTTCGTGTTCCATACCTCACACGTTCACTTAAAATCGCAGACAAGGCAATGCTGACCTTTGCAAGATGCAGCTTACTGGCTCGGCAGTGGCCATGTATCGTCTCAAGTTCAAAGCGGATGCCAGGAACAAGGGATCGCCAACGGCGGACGACTCCCATGCCTTGCTTCTGGACTCAAGTGACGGTGTCTGGTGATGCGAAGCCAGGATTACCAAGGGCAAAGAGCACATTTTGTGGAGCTGACTCCGTATGAGGGTGCTGCCGATGTCAGCCAGGAGCTGAGGGTGATCCGCCATCTCTGCATTTGGCAATAGTGCAGTTGAAGCAGACTTGCGTTCTCGCGCAGGGTTGAGGAAGCTGTGGGGTCGCGGCAGCTTAGGCCGTCGGCTTGGTCGGCGCAGCCGCAGCCCTGCATTTGGGGAGCTGGAAGATCCAGAATGCATGCGCGGCCCTAAACCCTAAACCCTAAACCCTAAACCCTCTTCGGCTCGGCGACCCTCTTTTGTTTGATCGCTCCCCGCGTTCACTGCTTCTTCGCTTTTCTCTCAGCGCCAGCAAATTGGCGCAAGGCGGCATCACCCAGAAGGGCATACCTGGGTGAGGGGCTTCTGAAGCTTTCGGACGTTAGAAGGTGTTTATGTGTGGGAGACTGGGCACATCTCTCCTATGTGATTGCATGTGTCGGCAGACATTCGCAGCTTCAAAGCACTCGCAGTACCAGTACCACTCATACAAATAAGAATGCAAGAAGCTCTGTTGGACAAATTTGAATGGGGTCTTCCGAATATGCTACAATAGCGACCCCAGAAGGACCGATCATGTAGCTCAACTCTCACATCGGGCTAAATATCAGTAGGGCTGCGGATCTGCACCCCAAAGCACGCAGCACGCATGACTCGCTTTCCCCAATAGGGGCGGACCAGGGGATGTTTTGAGGTTGTGTGGCTTGGGGTTGTTCACGCATCTTCTGATACTTAAATGACAAAATATATAATATTAAACATTAAATTGAAAAATAAAAACAAGAAAATTAATGAACTTTGTTTTAGGATTGACATGTTTTCAAGAAATATTGATGTTTGATGAAATAATATCGTATTTGGAAAAATTAACAAATCTGTATAATAACACTTCCATAAGCCATCATCGCCGTCCCTGCACTTTGCTTGAAAAAGATTCGTCTGACCCTAAACCCTTAAACCCTTAAACCCCTAAACCCTAAACCCTAAATGCGCCCCAGCCGCGGCATAACGCAGCAGTGCACGATGACAGAGACGAGCCCAGCACTGACCCAGGCCCAAAGTGTGTAGGCCAACACCTCTTCGGGTTGCATGGTTCGCGGACACTGACAGCAGTCGGGCTCACAAGTTTCAGCTGGTGCGAGTCAGAAGGAGTGAGAGTGAGAGAGAGAGAGAGAGACCGAGCGAGAGCGAGCGAGAGAGGGAGAGAGGGAGGGAGAGAGGGAGAGAGGGAGAGAGGGAGGGAGAGAGCTACCTTGCTACAGTGCTGCTCGAAGCTGAAATTTGAACCACAAGCCCCTCATCCGAAGCCGTTAATTTTACCGATGCCTAGTGCCTGGCACCTGAAAATCGAGAGTCCTGGAGCTACATCCTGGATACCGATCGAAGTTCAGCACCGCAGCCATCCGCAACCACAGAGCACTTCTACAACTACCACCCAAGCTGCATGAATATGATGGAACTCAATCGGCATGAGCAGCAACCGTCCACCTGGGCTAGCACAGTCATGACCCACTGGTTGCGGGCTTCAGTTTTTTTGCTCTGGAGGATAAAACCAAGTTTGATATTGTTGCAAATCAGCGTTCTGGCATGCACCAAATGGCTGGAGGAGTACGGCTTTCGCATAGGACTGTCTGTTGGCATGAAACCGAAACCCGAGACCAACAAAACCCTTTAGCTTCAAGTCTGACACCGGAAGTTCCATAAGTCTTGCCTCCCTAGACCCTAGACCCTAAACCCTAAAACCCTAAAACCCCAAACCTTAAGACCTTAAAACCCTGAACCCTAAACCCTACACCCTGAGAGCTTCAAGGTCGCCTAAAGGCATAAGCTTTGCTGCCGTGGCCGCGCAAGTAGTGGATGGAAAAAATATTCGTCAGGTTCACGCCTAGGTCAGAGCCGGGGCTTGCAACCGTCCAGCGATCTCGGTATTTGGGTTTGGGGTCTC